GATGACTAGGGATGAGTGGGATGACTAGGGATGACTAGGGATGACTAGGATCACTGGGATGACAAGGGATGACGAAGGATCAAGAGGGATGTTTAAAAATGACTAGTGATCACTAGGGATGACTGGGAAAGACTAGGGATGGCTAGGGATGACAGGGATGACAGGGATGACTAGGGAAGACTAGGCATAACTAAAGATGACTAGGGATGACTGGGATGACTAGAAATGACTAGCAATGACTAGGATAACTAGGGACGACAAGGGATGACTAGGAACAACTGGGATGACTAGGCATGACTAGGGAGAACTAGCGATGCCTAGGATGACTGGGACGACTAGGGATGACTACGGATAAATGAAGATAACTGCAATAACTAGCGATCCTTAACGATGAAAGAGATGACTAGGGATGCCTACGAATGACTAGGAATGACTGGATGACTAAGGATGACTGGGATGACTAGGAATGACTAGGGATGACTAACAATTACTAGGATGACTGATGAATAGCGATGACTGGGATGACTAGGGATGACTAGGGATGATTAAGGATGACTGGAATGACTAGGGATGACTAGGAATGACTAAGAATGACTAGAGATGACTAGGATGACTAGGGATGACTAAGGACAACTAGGGATGGCTAGGGATGACTGGGAAGACTAGGGATAACTAGGGATGACTACGAATGACTAGGATGACTAAGGATGAGTAGGAATGAATGGGATGACTAGGGATGACAAGGAAGGAGTGGGGATGATTAGGGATGACTCGGATGACTAGGGATGACTAGCAATAACTAGGGATGATTGCCATGACTAGGTATGACTAGGGATGACTAGGGAGGACTAGGGATCACAAGGGATGACTGGAATGACTAGTGATGACTAGAGATGACTAGGATCACTGGGATGAATGGGGATGACTGGAATGACTAAGGATGACTAGGGATGACTAGGATCACTTGGATGACTAGGGATGACTAAGGATGACTAGGGATGACTGGGATGACTAGGGATTACTAGGAATGACTGGGATGACTAGGGATGACTAGCGATGACCAGCGATGACTAGGATGACTAGGGATGACTAGGGATGACTGAGATGACTAGGGATCCCTAGGGATGACTAGGGATGACTGGGATAAATAGGGATAACTAGGGATGACTGGGATGACTAGTGATGACTAGGGATAACTGGGATGACTAGGTATGACTAGGGACGACAAGGGATTGCTAGGGATGACTAGGGATGACTTGTCACCTTAGTCACCCAAGACACCCAAGTGGGGATAACAAGGGATGACTAGGGATGACTAGAGATGACTAGGGATAGCTGGGGATGACTGAGATGACTAGGGATCCCTAGGGATGACTAGGGATGGCTAGGGATCATTGGGATAAATAGGGATAACCAGGGATAACTAGGGAAGAGTAGGGATGACTAGGGATGACTGGGATGACTAGTGATGACTAGGGATAACTGGGTTGACTAGGTATGACTAGGGATGACTAGGGATTGCTAGGGATGATTAGGGATCAGAAGAGAGGGCTAGGAATGTCTGGGATGAGTAGGGATGACAAGGGATAACAAGGGATGACTAGAGATGACTAAGGATAGCTGGGATGACTGGGGATGACCAGGGATGACTAGGGATGAGTGGGATGACTAGGATTGACTAGGGATAACTGGGATAACAAGGGATGACTAGAGATGGCTAGGGATAACTGGGATGACTTGGGATGACTGGGATGGCTAGGAATCCCTAGGGATGACTAGGGATGACTGGAATGACTAGGGATGACTAGGGTGACTGGGATGACTAGGGATGACTAGGGATGAATAGGGGTGACTAGGGATGACTAAGGATGACTAGGGATGACTAGGGATGACTAGGGATGAGTAGGATGATTGGGATGAATTGGGATGACTGGGATGACTAGGAATGACTAGGGATGACTAGGATGACTAAGGATGAGTAGGGATGACTAGGGATGACTAGCGATGACTACGGATGACTAGGGATGACTGGGATGACTAGGGATGAAGAGAGTTGACTAGGGATGACTGGGATGACTAGGGATGACTGGGGATGACTGGGATGACTAGGGATGACTAAGGATGACTGGGATGACTACGGATGACTAGAGATGACTAGGGATGAATGGGATGACTAGGGACGAGTAGGGATGACTGGAATGACTACGGATGAGTAGAGATGACTAGGGATGAGTGGGATGACTAGGGCTCACTGGGATGACTAGGGATGACCTAGTCAATCAAGTCACTCTAGTCACCCTTATCATCCTTGTCACCCAAGACACCCTAGTCACCCAAGGCTCCCGAGTCACTCATTTCACCTAAGTCACATAAGTCAAGCTAGTCACCCTTGTCATCCAAGGCTCCTAAGTCACCCAAGTGACTATTTTATTACTAATACCGCATTCAGGTTCCCTGTGGACGAAGTCAAAGCTGCACAGAAAAAAGCACAAAAGCACACTTGCGTGACAAAAAAATAATCATGCTGATTTTCTGTCTAATTGGTCATTAAATAGGAGAGACACTTATTCCGATATTGAACAATGTGTGATATAAGAAAAGAGATACATGTATGAGCATGACTGTTGCTAAAATGGCAACATGTAAACATTTATATGCCAATTAAATTTTGGCCTTATAGATGTATGTATCTCAGGTTTATTAAAATCAGTTTATGTTACAATAAATTAATGACCTCTAAGATGTCCCAATCACAATCAACCATCGTTCAGACTATTTAGAGTTCTGTTGTAACGCAAATTGATACCATCCCCTGATAAGGACCTTTATAGAATAATTAACTACATGTCTTCTGCACTTACCTTTCAGTCTTTTTTCTCCTTGTCTTGTTTGTTGCTGTTTGCTTGTTTTTCTTCCTGTCATCATGATGCAAAATAAGCTGTCGCAAATTCATACAATTTTATTGTAGAACCTGAAAAAATTATGACCATTTAATTTTCTTCATTTTCACGAGAACTTAGAAGCAAAATTAAAAAGCATCCAGAAAAGTCATTTTCCCCTTGGTTGATCTACAATCATCTTCAGTTTCAAGTAATACAGTAACTGTAATTTGAAATAACAATGTATCTGATTATACATGATACAATAATTATTACAAGTGATGTCACAACTCGTGACTGTGAAAGGTTTGAACCCAGGAGTCATTTCATAAGTAGATAGAGCATGATCATCCAGGTGATCATAGCCCTGAGTTAAGGATTGTTGTTGACAGTGGCTGACATTTCGACAACCTGTGCAGTACTCACCTTCAGAGTAAAAGTTAGTTGTATCACGTCAGTTGCATTGTGGTATTAAACTCTGGTTATTGACCTGATTCAGGTCAATAAAGTTGTGATGTTAATGGTCATCTGTTAGTTAAGCCGTGATGTTGGTTGTCATTCTGTTGTTGTCAGTTCTGCTTGAGTCCGTCAATAAGTTGTTTGAAAAGTAATTTCAAAAATATATTTTAAAAAAATCCTTTATTTTAAAAGTCTGTTTAAATGTAAAATACCGTAAAATTCCGAAAATAAGCCCCTCCATGTATAAGCCCCTCCAAATATAAGCCCCTCAAAATCGTAACGCAAAAAACCCTCCATTAAATCGCCCCTCCAAATAAAAACCCCCTGGGGGGCTTGTACTTGGAATTTGCCCTTGAATACAACGTAAAACAAAGCAAAAATGGTAAATTTCCTTCCCATTACAAGCAAGCCCAATTGATTTTGAAATGCAAATTTCCCTCCGTACATAAGCCCCTCCGAATATAAGCCCCTCCAAAAATAAGCCCCTCAAAAAGGGCCTTTGAAAAATATAAGCCCCGGGGCTTATTTTCGGAATTTTACGGTATACTACAATAATAAATAAAAAATAAAAGTAGAAAAAGTAACGTTAAAACAAAAAGGTAAGCTCAGCATTTTTGAGCTGGTTGTTCAATGTTGTATTCTCCCACCAGATGTATGCAGCTTCCTTTAACAAAAACTGGTATCTGTTTTGTGTAGAATCAAAAATTAAAAAGCACCTAATGATCAGATGGAATATGTCGACATGCAGGGTAATTCCCCCATATTCAGGGAGGTCAAACATCTACTAACAGCCACCTTTCTAAAATCATCACTTCAACACATTAAATACAACAGATTAAATCTTTGGATCCCAGTTCAGAGGCCTTTCATTCACCCTTAATAATTTATCAACTTGTGGTAGTTAACAAATTAGGAGAGCAGGGAGGTGGGGAAGTGATTTCACTGCATAGTCATTCATGGGATTTGGTAACACACAGGATAGATACCTGCAGTTTACTGGGCTCTGTGGAAAAGCTGTGCTCGCAGGGGCATAGCCAGCCCATAGACCTGTAGTCCTGGGCCTACAAATTTTTGGATTGATCACTCTACCACTTGTGATAAATTATGTGTTGTTGGGGTGAGCCAAAAAACTTAAGAGCTCATTTTGTTGGTGAGGTCAGTGCATACTAGTCACGCATGCAATTTTCAGGATATGTTAAAATGAAAGTCAGCCAGGCCTACAACTAGCAGAAAAGCTGGCTATGCCCCTGGCTAGCATTGTTCAATTTTAACATCATACTGCGCAATGTGTTGCACACCAAAATCATTCATGTAGGATACATGTAATAGTACAATGTGTGGGATAGGTTTAGAACTGCCTCTGAACTAAGCAGTTGTTGCTACTTGCACAAGAACAACAGCCCTTCGATTATGCAGCATACATGAACATTACAGGTCAAAATTTAATTCAGGTTAAAATTTTTAAACCTACCATCAGCGACAAAACTGTCGAAACATTGCACTCACATAGTGTAACTTAATAATAATGATAATGATAATAATAATGGCTTAATGCCAGCATATCCATGTAAGTGGCTGTTCACCTGAACATAATAAAACTGCTGACTAAAAATTATAAGGATCATTTAAGATAAAAATATATAATTATGAATTTATGTAAACATGGCTTTAGTGAGTGTCTACAGGTCCTCATCTGCTAAGTATGTCCTTGGTACCAAGACTTTCACCCTCCCCACCCAGGACAATGGGTAACTGTCTGCACCTTCCACTGAGCTCTGCAATTATCATGATAATTATTGTCAGCTGGCTCGGGCAATGTAAGAACTAGGTACTTGCCAGTCAACCCCTCTAGTAAACACTGCTCCTTAGCGAATTAACCGGGATTGTGTCAAAATAGCCTCCTCCCTACTCCACTGGTTTTGCCCCCCAGGTCTGATCCACGCACCCACTGTTAGGGCAGGCCCTGGGCTATCCACCTGCACTGACCAAGACGGCAAGCGCCCCACATTTTTGGAGGCCGTACCGGCTTGGAGCCAGGCTATGCCTGGCACCAGGTAAAAAGTTAGTGCTGGCCACATTTTAAAGAAAGGAGACCAATGTACAATAAGGTAGGTCAGTAGTTACAAGTGACTGATGAAAAAGATATAGCTGATGTTAAACCATTAAGCAAATAAAAATGAGAAAAAATAAAGTAAATTAAACAAATAATAAATAAATTAAATGAAATAAAATGTTAAGTACATGTACATAAAATGAATTAAGAAGTGACAACCTAAGGCTAGCACATTAACTAGCGACATCTCATCCTTTCAGGAAGAGAGAAAAGTTATTTCACAGAAACACACTCAGGATTATTACTTAATATGATTTTGAAGAAAAGAGTGTGTCTCACGACAGAATTAAAATTGGTGCTATTTTTAATATGAACAGGAAGACTAAATTAAAAAACCGTACAGCATTATCTTGAAAGCTGTTGTTCTCTGGTGGAGTAACCAATCTCCTCGCAAGCATTAATCAGAATGCAACAGTCACAGACATGTAAGGACAAGTTCACTGATCTTGAGGTAAGATGGCCAGGCAGCAGAATACAAAGCCTTGAAAACAAGTTTAAGCAAATGAAAATCTCCACTTTCCTTCACTGGTAGCCAATAGCAACCTATTTTTAAAACATCATCTATGTCTCTAGCATATTAATGATTGAGAAAGGCAATTTCACCCTTACCACATTATAAGCCATGGCCAAATGAGACAAAATACAGTGAGATATGATATTGGACAAGGCAGACTTTGCTGCTCCTTCATAATGCTTTTTAACTGGAAAACTTTGCTTAACCCATTCACTCCTGTAGATTTTGCCGAAAAACGCGTTTTGAAGCTAGTTGAGTGGTTTTCTGGTCACTGTCGTGCTATAAAGAGCTAAAACTTACCACAAACCGGTTTACAGGTCGTACACTTCGCAGCCTTCTGATCCAGATGCAAAATATCAGCTTGCGAAGTTCGGGCATGCGCAGAAAACAAAATTTCGAGATAGTTTTTGGGCTTAAAAGTGACACAGCAGTCTTGACTTTTACTTTTCGCTTTCTCTCCTCCCTTCTTTTTTCGCTTTTCTTGCCTCATTTTTTTTTCTCTTGCTGGGCATTTAGTAGGCTTCATTTTGGTGGAAAGAGTTTTTAAGAAAGCTATTAGGATCTTAGGATTAAATGAAAGCAAAGGTAGGTGAGCAATGGAACAAGATTTTCATGGAGATTTTCAGGTCAATGTCACGTGGTTTTTTGCTTCTTTCTCCGGTGTCCTTGACTGAATTGTGCTCATTCTGGTATGGTTTGAAAGATCTCTTCACTCTGCACAAGCTTAGCGAAGAAAGTTGTCCTTGACCGTTAAAACTGATGATGCCACAAAGGGTAGAAAGGACCTGGGTCCGCACGGGCGGTTACGGGCGGTTCAGGGGCAAATGGGTTAAGGTGGCCAAAAGAAACTCCAAGACAACCCTACACCACCAAAGCAAAGTTCAGTCTAATACGCATGCTGGTTTCAAACTGACATACAGAGTCACAAAAACCTTTAGGACAAAAGTGTACAACAATTGGGATAGGGGGAAGGGGAATTGAGGTTTATAATTAGCCTGATACATATGTGATAAACTCATGACAGTCTATGTACTGTAACAATAAGTAAATGTTTAGTAAAACAACTAAATAAGAGTGAAAAAAAAATCCTAAACACAGACTCAGTAAAGTATACGAGAGGAATTTCATAGCCATGTTTTAGCAAATTCAGCAATTTTCAACCCATTTACTGTGCTATAAAAATAACACGGTACAGCACATAGTATTATTCAAATGAAACAAACTGTATTTTTACTTTTACACACTTGGCGTTACATAGGTTTGACTGTACTTGAGCTTATAAACGTGTATCCCCAAAGTTTCTATACAAATGGCAATACTGCTCACAAAAGTTAAGTCTTAAAAGATTAATAACGAGGCAAGCCACACTGTTTGTCACTTCATATTTTAAATTTCGCGCTTCAAGCTTACAAATAAATGCTAGCTGAAACCTTAAAAACTTTCAGACTAGTGATCCTCTTCTCAACGAAATATAACTTAAGATTTTTTCTAAAGAAACAAAAAGCATCTTCTTTTGCTGCTGTAAATGTACAAACTTCATACCTGTATGATTTCATCAGATTTCATGAAGCCGCAACGTGATCGTACACAGCGCAAAACGTGGTCAACATTCCAGCGATGTACATCTCTATCTGCCTCTTAGTTTGCCCAACAATGCCACAGAACGAGGAACGAATTACTTTTAATAGCGGCAGTTATAAAACAGTCCATTTTTCGCATAGTCTTCACCAAAAACTGTTACATTTCCCCCATTTGCCGTTGGTGATCATGGCTTCTGATGCACAGGAGTGGGTTCTCATTCCCAGAAACCTCGGGGCACTAGATTTCCCGAGAAAAAATAAAAAGGTCCGTAATGCGTGCAAGGATGACTTTCTCGAATAAACGATCATGGCAAGTTTGTTTTGTTTTTTGTTTTTTTTAAACAACGCAGATAAATCGGTTTCATTAAATCTTTTGTAATTCACCTTTCAATAATTTTACAGTGCTACAAACTACTATATCTTTCACAGTTGGCCTCACGTCTTGAAAAATAGCTCGTGTTCTTAACTGTCAACCAGAACACTTGACAAGTCTTTCCTTTTCCTAGTAGGAGGGTTTGCTCTTGTTAATGCCGTGAGATGTCAGATTTTCATGTGTTTAAAAAACTGTACATGGGATTCCCAAAAGCTTAATCTATATGAAAATAATAAAGGTCATGCATTGATATACAACGACATTGGCTACGAGCTCACTACAAACTTTACCTGACAAAGACTTTTGTTCCGTTTGAAAACCTTTTTTTATTATTATTTTGCGTATTGATTGAAAGCGTGCTCCTTGCTTTCTGGTTAGCCGTAATACCTTCCCCTAATTGGTTATTTCATTTGAGCCAATCAAAATTAAGCACCGCACGTGCAAAAGTTTTGTGAAGCGTTACAAAACACGATAAATTATGTGCCTCGGTATGGGTACCAGCGGACGTCGATTTCGTCCGTTTCTTCAGGCAAAATTGTCGCATATCAAGAATTGTTTTGGGTGATAACGGTACTGGCGAGCTCAGCACAATCCACAACGACGGCGAAAACAAGCAAATCAAAAGAGGAACAGATTGAATAACAAACAAAAGCTCTAAGCGCACACTACACTTTCTTGCAGTTTTCTTCGCCATTATTGTACGAGTAACGTCATCTAATCCGCTCCTAAGGTGTCGCTGCATCAATAGCGATCGTTGGGACTTCATTTTCGTTGGAAATACCCATACAGGTCATACAGAGGATCAATTATTTTGTGAATGAAAAGTGACAGGCAGGTGGTCACTGATCAAGAATATAGTGATACTTAGGGAAAAATTCTTCTTAATAAGCCCTAGTCAAACCGTGAAAGGGGCGACGTGACGACCGCAAAGACAAGAAATACATTAGGCTGTTGTCATGGTGAATAAAACGCTTTTGTAAGTTTCCTTGCTGCCCTGCGCACAACAACAATGAGGAGTCTCCGGTTACGGGAGTGTCATATGCAAGAAGCCACAAGAAGCAACTGCTTAAAAACAATTGCACTGCCAATACTCATTCATTCCCTCCTGTTCAAGGCTTCGGCCGAGCACGTCCTGTTGAAGATGCTAAATAGTGAACCTTTACACCCTGCATGTTTAAGACTCAAGACCCTAAAAAACATTCCCTATTTAGATACACTTCCCTGCAGTTTAAGCCAAATAAGGGAGTGCAAGGGAAGACGACGACATTTTCAGGGGAGCGAGGTTCAGTATCTCTTATGTGCAGTAAAGGGGAGGGGAGGTGTCCGAAGGGGGAAAGGTGATTATTAGAAAACGTGCACTTAGTCGAGAAATAAATACCGACATAGTTACAAAAAAACCCAGCAGATCAAAACTTATGTAACTGCAACTAATGCTGACTTAGAGCGTTTTAACATAGAAAAAGACGGCCGCGACGTCAGACGAGATGGCAGAAGTTGTTGTGGCTTTTTTCTATGTTTGTTCCGTTGGTGTTAGTGTTGAATTACTTCAAACCCTCAGTTGTAAATTTAACGCTTAAAGAATAATCTATATATTTCAGTGAAGCTCGGCAAAACTGTTTATAGCCCCTCGTTAATTTTACCTTTTCTTTGTTTTAGCATCAGTGGTACCCAGACTCTCGGTTACGTAGTGGCTGGATGAGGAAATTTTTAAAATACATTAATAGTCCTAGAAAACATCAACACACCTAGCCTATTGCAGCCTACAACAGGCTACAACACACCATAAAGACGACCATATCTACCAGGAGGTAATTGAGCGTAAGGGAGTGGTCATTAATTACTGGCTGGAGGGCCGGTAAATACAGGGGAGAGCTAAAAATTTGAACGGGCTTTAACGAAGTTCGAAGCAATTGCCGGTGCATTAGCGCTGTAGTGCTCTACCAACTGCGCTATGAATACCCAAACATTGGGGGATAAGCTCATCTTGACTGGGAATAAAATAAAAAATAAAGCTCTGAATTTTTTTGGCAGGCTTTATTTGTGATTATATTGCTTAAATCATGCAATTAGTACTGCATGCGTAATACAATTTGAATTTGAAACTACAACTTTTCTGTATTTGGTGGTCAGATTGAATTGTCTTTAAAACTTTAAACAGATAAAATACCTGTAATGACATTATATCTAGTTCAATAAGAAAGCCGAGCTGAAAGAAATAATATTTATTCAATTTTTATTTTGTAATGTACAACATGTACAAAAGTATGTTCAACTTGAAAAAAAAATTAAAAGAAACTTCCCAATCCCAATTTTGTTGAATACAAAAACACCTAAAAGGTGACGTTAAACTAAACAGTTTTTAAAACGAGGATTTAAAATTACAGACATAAAAAGATCTCACTAATCCTCTTAAGACGCAGGCTGCACAGCCAGGGGTTTGTGAAAATGACGATAAGCGATCGTTAAAAGAGAAATTAAAAGAAAAAAGATGATCCCACCGAAAATGCTTGCGATGATAACGCAGGTCGTGCAGTCTTCCACGGTGTCATCATCTGGTTCCTTATTTCTGACCACTGGACAAAGACCCAAAGAAGACAATAGAGATTCCTCGTCGTCAGCCGAGTTTCCTTTAAAAAAAAAATAATCAATTCATTGTTATTGGTAATGTGTTCAAAGTAATGCAAGTTGTTCTAGCTTACGAGTTTAGAGCAGATCCTGATTTTTGACAACATAAACAAATCTAACGATCAGCACTTTTTGGCGGCATTCCTTGCTATATGTTATTTTTCAGGTTCAAAATTATCATCAAACAAAAGTTTTTTTGGCGTATCATATTTGCATAGTGGATCTCTCAAGAAGCGCGCGCAGTAAAGCATCATGGGTGAGAAAAACTGGCAACCTATAAATACGAGAAATTTTGGCAATCACGTGACCCGCGTCCGTCCGTAAACCCCTACATGTAAGCCGGAGTGAGATTTCGCATTCAAGCACCCGCTCGTTTTGGCGGTAAATCTCATGGCCACCTGGACATTTAGAAAGAAAAAAACATCAACAAGGCGAGTCATTTTTTCGACTAAATTTTGATGTCTACAGTGACATGGATAACAGAGAAAGAGCAAGCGCGAGAAAAAAAAGCCACGGAGACGAATTTCGCTGGAAGAAGGATGAAAATTTTGTAGTGGCAGTGAGAAAATGAGAGATGCTAGCAGCCAGCAAGTGAAAAATGAGCGGCGGTGAAAAAAAAGAGAACAAGAACTCAAAATCGAAATTTTTTGCGAACAATTGCGAACCACAACATTTCCTCCATACAGACACGTGACGTGTAGTTTCACGTTTTAGTGGTGCAAAGCAACGGCAAAGAAATGTACACAAAAGTGTGCTGCACGTGCAATTTTTTTTGTTTTGCTAATTAGTCCTATTGATTTTTTTGCTGTTCTCGTTGCCGTCGCCGTTTAGCATTACACGATTTTATTTTTTTTTGTGTAATTACATAAACGAGAGCTTCGCTTTTAGCTCTGGCTAAATTTATATATTACGTTATTATGAGTAGGGTTGTTATGGCTATTTCAGAGGAGAATTTGGTAACGTGTTTGCGGCAAACGACAGTTTCAAATTGACGATTTCTCGATATAGAAAATGAGCAGATAAAACTAATTCTTATGGTGAATACTAATTTTGGGGTAGAGATAATGAGCAGTAAAAACAAATTAAGGGAAAGCTTGGTCACGTGGTACAAATTGACATTTGTCGTTTCCTGTAAACGTGATCTAAGTCTATCTAATACATGTATAAACATGAGACTTTAAGTTACATTTCTGTAGAGCCTTTTGGACAGTATCTATAGTTAGTTCTAGCAGTTGGTTCGTTTAAAGTCCCAAGAGGGCGAGGATATCTCTTGTCAGTTTATGTGTGCTATTGGAAGATTCTTATGCATAGATTAGGACATTATATTCATCAAGTCAGGAAAACGGAATATGGAAACACATACCCTCTTCGTCAACATCCTCATAGTCGTAACCAAACTCAAACGACTTCTTGAAAATGTTTTCATGAGTGTACACAGGAAAGAGTGGCACAATGACATCACCTCTGTTGTGACCAATGGGAGCGTCGTATGACGAAAGAACAGAAGCATTCTTGTTGTACTTACGAAGCCACTTCTCTAAAACCCGATCAACAGAAGAGTGGTGAAGAAAGAAGATGGGGTCATTAGACGCTGATACAGAGCTACTCATTGCACCTCCAATCACCAAGTGCACTCGATTATGAAGAGAATGAACATTTGGCAGTCGATAACCGGTAGTAGTGTTGATGAAACCCTCAAGGAGGTTTCTAAAATTGCAGCTTGAATCTGCGCTGTAGGGCGGAAGATCGAACGTGTCAAAACGAAGAGCAAAGTTTACATCCTTTTTGGACGGAAAAGTCATGTGGTATCCGTTTTCTTTCATCTTCTTTTTGTCGCTCTCTTTCAAACGCTCTAAAACAGGATTTTTAGTCGCAGGGTCACACATTTGAGTCATGAGCGTGTCTTCATAAGTACATATTGTGCTCCAATTGTTGAAATATTTCCCTTTCACAGTGCCGTCTCCTTCCGTCACTCCAAGCAGGTCTTCAGTGCAAATTTCGCACTTGTCTTCATTAACGGTCCAATCCCAGTATGGTATGGCAAATTCCTCGTCTTCAGTCACTTCTTGAATTGTTCTCTCTATCGCCAGCAGGTATAACCGATGCCATGTAAGAAAGCCTTGCCCCTCATGCGCAAAGTCCATGACTGTGCCCGTGAGATTATCAGCGTGAACTGGTCCAAGAGCAGCATAGTAGTGCACCCACAAAAATAAATCAAAGACCGTGACATTGTGAAACAAACTTGTTGGATCCTGGCTGGCAAGGGTTCTTTCTTGTATTTCTTGGTAGGAACTCCTGCTCACAACATAATCACTGTCCACATACCTGAAAACAAACCGAAATTGTTGGAGACCGATGCTCTATCGACACTCCACCTACAACACATCGACCAATAACGTGGTCTCGCGCGATACTCGTTCGATCAATCGGCTGACTGTCGGTAGAGTATCAGTCGTCACCATGGTAACCGTATTTACACTTGCTACAATCGTAGCCGGCAAAATTTGACTTGCACTTGCAATTTCTGTTGAAAAGCGCATTGGGCCAGTTATGGCGGTCGTCCCCTTTATGGAATTCTTGGAAATGACTGTACACTTTGTCCCACCGGCGAACGATCATATCCCGGCATTCACCACGGTCTCCGTCGCTACCACATGGTGCTTTGAAGCCGTTTGGCGTAGGACAACACGTCTTGTCCCTCAAGCTCTCGCGGTTCACACACTCTTTGGGAAACTGGCTCTCAACCCACGGAAACCAAAGAGCAACAAAATAAAGAAAACTAGTTATTTGAAAGGTCATCTTCTTTTCCTGAAAAATAGTAAGTACGGGGACTAACTATTTCATGTTTTTCATTGGGAGTGGCTGGGTTGCAGATCATTGACCTGCAAACTCTATAGTACTAATTAATCTTCCAATTATGATTATTTCAAGTAAGACTAGTAATTATCTTCGCGAACTGAGCTAGTTTGACAACTGAAACACTCGGACCTCTTGTAGGCGAACGGCTAAACCGCGAAGATTAATTTAGTGGTAGCCTACTTGAAATGGTCGCTTACAAGAGTCGAACCGCAGGAGTCTCATCCGGAATTAGGTTTATCTAAATCAGATTCAAGATAATTTATTGCATATAATCACGTAAAGTATCATGTTGTTGTAAAAGGTCTTCGTATACTCTACATACAGCGAACATAGAGATGAGACAGAGAGGGAATTCGAAGGGATAATGCACTCTCAGACCCCCAGCAAAATACCAAGAAAATAGAAAAGCGTAAAATCGATTTAGCACTAAGGAGCATTACATGATGAGGTGAATGTTCAGTTCAGGAACAAACAGCATAAAAAACCCAGGCAATTAATAACGGATACAGATATCTCGCCCCACATAAGGAAATCCAATACATGTATATACAGTCTTGGATTCTGGATTCCACGCAGTGGATTCCGGATCTCAAGGAAATTAAGGCACGGGTCTTGTTTCAGTTCCCAGTCATATAGCTGTAAAACTTGAGCAGAATAATGAGTCGGAAAGTTATACAACTCCATGTAAAATAATATGGAAATTAGGTCACGTGACCTTTGACGGCCATTTTGCGCGAAAAAACTTCCATTAGAAATGGCACTAATTTATAATAACTTTCAATCAAAGAAGTTATTACCAAAAATGTCACTAGATGAACGACTAAATATCTGTGCTTTGGCTTTGTTGAATAATTTATTGAAAATTTAAATAAACGGAATTGTGTACTAGTGCCCAGTCCCCTTATCAAATGGTTTTCGAATTTCTTCCCTTCCTAAAGGGTTAACTTAAAAGGCCTAGCCCCAGAAATGATATACCCATTAGGCTCATTAACTATGACGATAACTGCAACTTCCAGAAAGTAATGAAAAGTGGAGCCTTCTTGGCAAATAGAATTTTGACCTAAAAATGGCCTTGGTATGTCACGTGACAATTAATGACTCCAACCATAATTCAAGTAATATATCAAACATGAGATGCAGTGTTTCATCACCAGATGAAACACCGAGAAGAGAGTTGAAAATACGACGCGCAGCGGAGTATTTTTGACGAACTTCGAGGTGTTTCATCTGGTGATGAAACACTGTGTCGAATGTTTGATATTTCTTCTCAAACAAAATCATTTTTGAAGGAGAAATTAAGGATGCAAATACTAAGCAGTGTTTCATCCGATTTCCAAACACTCATTAAACATTAATTTCCTTTGTATTTTCTTAATGAATTATTAATGAGTTTGAGAAAGTTATTGAAGTTACACCAGGTAGTCTGTCTATAAGTTATTTGGTGCTCTATTGAAAGCTAAAAAGTTAGACCACCCCCTCTGTTTTTGAGGAATTAAATAGAAGACCCATGCCTTAATTTTCTTGAGATTCCATGCCTTGGATTCCAGTCTTTGTCAATGGAGCTTGGATTCTGGATTCCAGTCGTTAGTGGGACTCCGTATTCCAAAGCCCAGGATTCCGGATTCTAAAAGCAAAAACTTAGGGGAATCCGGCCGGAACCTGCACTCCCTTACATGGGGCAGGATATCAGAACAGTGCGCAGAAGAATAATATCCACCGAGCGCAGAAGAGACCTTGTTCAGTTCATAGCCCGGACGAGTTGCCTTCGTTGCCTTCACTTACTACAGAATCAAATATCAACTAGACAGATCAAAATTTGTTATAAATCTGTTGAATTATAATCCAGATATTATCCAATGCTCGGTGGGAACGAACGTTGCGCGAATGACGCATTCGCTTTCCTAGTGAGGTACGAAGTTTAGTTGTTGTTATTCGTCCTCAGTCATTACTTTTAGCTGTTTACGGTAGCATACCGAGTGGCACAAAATTTTGCGGATTGGCGATTTTTTTCTGTTTTGCTGGAACTATTTTTTGCGATTAGGACAGCTTGTTTTTCTTGCTGGGAATTAATTTTCGCGATTTTCAGAAAGTACCCAGTACCCAGCATTGATAATACGGTATTTTCGTTTTTGTTTGAGTACGTGCAGTAAAAACACATATTTTCAAACAATAAACAAGTATTTAATTGTATACTGTTGAGTTTCTGAATGAAAGAGACAAATTGTGATTAAACAGACACGATTTCTTAGTACTGTATTTTTGTGTAGCGAATTTAAGTTTGAGAATAAATTACTCTGGAGTAAATTTTTGCGGGAAAAATGTTTGCGGTAATTTTTATTTGCGAAAACTTATTTTTGAGCATCGCTGGAAAAATCGCAAAAATTAGAACCCGCAGAAATTTCGTGCCACACGGTAGGATAATATATTTGACAGATTTGTAACACGATCGCACCATGATTTGTACGTCATTCTATGTGAACAAATGCGATTCGCGCTACCAACTGTATAATCAAGGCCACAAATAACTCCTCTGGGCTCTGCGCTATATCGAGTTGTCTATCTACGATCTCGAGAAACAAATCCGGCTGCAATGCAGGCTACGTCACATTCGTGGGTTACAGAAAAAACTCCTTATTTTGGGTTAAAGGTTACGTAACCGTGTCGACGCTCATATTTTGACATGTTTTGAGTTTGGACTACCTGTGGACAACTGTTGTGGATCAGTTCAATGAATGAACGCGTTTACTAACTCAAGACGAAGTCGTTTACTAAATGAGACTTAAAACCTGACCGGGTTTTGTATTCCTTATCGTGAGTTTGGGACAATGTTTCTCTTTAAGTTATTTTTTCCTAAAATGAAGTCAACCTCTAGCTCTAGGAACTGATGAAGTCAACATGTTCACAATGGCAGGATGGACTTTACGTTGTCACCACCAAGTAAAAGAAATACACAAGAGACTCAAGAGTTTTCTAACTGTGGTGTTTTAGGGAAGAAACTTATACAAAATTGTAATTAGAGAGCAATAGAGAAAGTTTACTCACCAATCAATCCTCCGTTTCTCTTCTAACAATGTGAAACCAGGTGTGAAAGCACAATGCAAACAACTGATAGTTTTTATTTGCCCAGGAGAGATCGTGCGCAACACGATCTGGTACGGCGCCCCGGGGTCACGGCCTGTGTAGCAGTCGTTTCCCGGCTTAGCACGCCTATTCAATTTTTTTTCTCCTTTTCAACCTCGCGCGTCGCCTACGCTTCTCTCGCATGGCTAAAAGAAAATATCCTGCGTAGCTGGCAGGAGTAATTTCTAATCGTGTGGCGGGGCCGCCGGGGCCGCCAGCGAAAGGATAAAATCCTGCCTGCCATATTTCTTATCACAGGCGGCCCAAGCTCAGTGTGTGAGTTTAATCGTTAACACATGCAGTTTCATATTGCGTAATTTAAAATGGCCGTGAATATAAAGGATTTGTATGGGAATTCCGGTAAAAGATTCAAATCGATAAATACTCGCTAGAATGTTCAATAAAATACAGCTTACGGTATTTACTTTGCTTGTTTTTGTTTACTGTGAGGTTATTTTTCCGATCCATTGCGATTTAAGCGATTTCGCCGCCTGTGTTCTTATGAGTTTTGAATGCCACCCTCTTTTGTCATCCTGCTTATCAGCCAATCAGGAAAAGAGATGTAAAACGAAACCGTTGGTAATTTAGGGGCGGACCATTAGAAAGTTATGGGGGATGAGGGGTGGGTTGTTGCGGGGAATTTTTTGAATTTTTTTTTCGTTAACATTTTCATTGCATGATTTTTTAGGTATCTTTTAGGGTTAATTGACGCGTATGTTTTTTTTTCATATCATTTCCCCTAGCGCGAATATTTTTTTTTACTTCGTCGAGCCCCAATAAGTCTTCTAATGGTCCGTCCCTTACTCACAAAAAGGCTAGAATTCGACCCCATGATCCTGAAGTGTCTCTTAAAAGAAGACGGTGTGCATTTTGTCTTTTGTCCTAAACAGGGTAATAAAAATGAGGTTGTTGTCCTAAACAGGATATGTATTTTATGGATTTTTTTGTCCTGAACAGGGTCAGGGTTTTCACCCTCAGCGACTCACCTGTAACCAATTATTAGTCGAGTATCCCCGGGGAACTTCCCTTTGCTGCCCTGAGTATACTATCGACGTGAAATTTCCGATATTTTCAGAGGCTACGACAACCTGCTAATACTATTTTGCAGCGTTAAAGAAAGAACATCCCCAGAAGTCTTCTCCTTGAACTGCATGGGGAATCTAGGGATTTTACGTTGTGGAATCTAGGAAACCTTGTTCTTAAGAATCGTAATCCATTCAGAAAAGAAAAGCAAGCTGCATTTCTCAAATGCTGAAAAGAAAAAAGATTTTCGTTTTGCCTACATTTTCGTCAACCCTTTTACGTGCCTAATTTGATTATGCCACCGTTTTTACTCATCTATCTGCCACTGGTTCTCCGGAAATAAAGGAATCTAGAACGTGTAAGGTAACTTGCATAATAAGCAAAGACAAAACATAAAAGAAGATTTTAGATATTTTAAAACTGAAATCTAATTATTATTGTTGGGAATGGGATATTTGCTTGCAACACACTGTTGTCCCGATAAACTCGCGCTAAACGGTCCTAAATCACTCACTCACGATGTAAGGTTTTAAACATA